GGATTGAGGTTTTACTCATCACTTGGGAGGGCTCACAATTATCTGCAAACAGATACACTACATCACATACCCTGTTTGTAAAAGCTTATAAGATAAGATTATGAAGAAAAGAGAGAAAATATAAGGGTAAGATCTCACTAAATTTATGGTTGGCGTAACTCATGGTAATAAGTTTCCATTCCATTTCAGTAATACGTTATCATAGTGCGAATTCGTCATAGAGTACCGTGATGGTGACATTTCCATCACAGAGAACCAACCTCACAACACGGTAGTAAGGACTGGCAAAAGGGGTACTAATTAATACCCGCAGAATTGAATATGTTGACGTCAAAAATAGAAGGTATAGATCACCCATGTATAAACAACACGAGATGGGGAAACATTCACTTACTAACCACAGGGGATGGAAACCGTAATAACAGACATGGAAGGACGAATGTGTAAAACGAACGCAAGTAGAAGACAGAACCGTATAAAACCCACACTTTGCATCGTCAGCATATTTGAAGGCAAGATAAATAACCTAGAGGTGTGCTGTGAAGAGATGTCTTGCTGAATCTGCATAATGTAGACAGAAACAGTCGAGTTCGAGAAGAACACCCACTCCATCTCGACAAGGTTTTATCAAGATAAACCCGCCACGCCAGGGACAAAGTGAGAGGTCCCTTGTAGCAGAGTCAGCTACAGAAGCCAAAACAGGAAAGGTTATGAGCAAACCTAGGAACCTGATTATTTGCTAACAAGGCAGAATCTGTACACAACGTATAACGTCTCGTTAAAATTTCACAGGACTACGAACACATAGGAACATGGACTTCACAGTGTCCAGAAGTAAACTAGATATACTTGTCTTCAGAATGACAAACTTCAGAGAAACACTGTCCAGAATCTCAAATAGGGCCTTGTTAAATGAATCAAGCATAAATGCAACATGGTGTCATTGGGCTACCTCTAGACCTGTCAAGGCTGAAACACCGTATAACAAGACAAGGCAATCAAAGAGAAGATAAGCGATACCCATCATATTCCCCGGGGGCAAGGCTACCTGCAAAATGTGGTGACAATCAATAATGGTAGTGAGCCCAAATGATTTTTCAAATTTTATACAGCGTTTACCAAATTATTATGAATATTTGTCATAAGCTGGGAGGAAAGTGAATTGGAGGCAACTTGTAAACTTCAAAATGCAATATTTATTTACGATTGCCATGTGTTAACTGAAACGTGTTTGGTAGTTATTGGATGTTAATGTATATTCCGCTTTCTACAAATGTTGATAAACTGGTATTCTTTTTCAGGCCTTACTTCATACTTGAATAAGGTCAATGTCCTCGGACATTTCTCTATTTGCTGATGTTTACTTGTGGAACAGAAACGGGATACATTTTCAAAACGATGACCACCACCTTCTTTACGGTGTACATTCAGAAAAATAGCGTTTCTCTTCCTCTATGCTTTAGTGGCATATACCTGTGTTTCTTAATGTCTCTGTTGTAACACACGTATTTGGTCGTGGTTGTTTGTTTGGTTACAATGGAATCAGCATGGTTATCCTCGAGTCCAACTCTTAACCAAGACATTTCCAAGGTGAGATAAGACCTGTTTAGCCATTTTTAACTGTTTGTTTTACGTCTCGTATGTAAAATGTATTGGTCATACAAACTTGAACATTCGTATCGATCTCCTCTATCATATCACGTGACATCAGTTCTTTGTATCAACGTCAGCATCAGAAATTCCTCAATATAGTTTAAAGCTTTCTACTCTCTGAAACAGTCAAATACTATTCCATCAATATACTGCCTCTGGGACAGTTGTATTACAACATATGAACAACACTGATTCATTGAAATTACTGATTTTATTTTCAATGATATGTGACAGATGATTCTCGTGTAAAAATGAATGTTTATGTTATGCTAATTCATTATTATCTAAAAAAGACGATGATTTGTGGTGGCAACAGTGTAAATATCAAATATGACCTTCATGCATATAAATGTTTACCTTGGTCTTATATCAACACCCGAATGAAAACACACACGTCCACATAACCATCTACTCTCTCTCATCATTTCTGCCCCCTCCCGTCAACCCTATACTCTACACTCTTCCTCCATATCCTTGATCATGCAGTCATCAACTCCTTTCCCTCCACAATCATGTTCACACAATCATCCAGTCTCCCATCCACACCCACGTCCACACATAATTGGAAAATTAGCGATAAAAAATATCAATATAACAACATCTGAAATTGTGCTGCAATTAACTTTAACGAAGATACTTACTGTTTAAACAATGGTTACAATTCGTTCTTGTTCAGTGTTTTTATGAGATATTTAAGTGGGCCCGATCTGTTAAGTGTTAACGTTCTTGATATTTTTCATATACGCTTTTTCCTGCTATGTCCGTATTAAGAGACGTTTTCATATTCATTCCTGGAGAAGACTGTTGTCCATTACATTACTAGTTGGTTCGGCATATTGGTTTACGTGGTCAGTAAGGTACTGACACAGTTCACCTGGTGAGTTAGATACTGACCACAGTTTACCTGGTCAGTATCTGTTTACCTTGTCAGTTAGATACTGACCGCAGTTTACCTGAACAGTTAGATACTGACCGCAGTTTACCTGGTCAGTTAGATACTGACCGCAGTCAACCTGGTCAGTATCTGTTTACCTGGTCGGTTAGATACTGACCGCAGTTTACCTTATCAGTTAGATACTGACCACAGTTTACCTGGTCAGTTAGATACTTACCACAGTTTACCTGGTCAGTTAGATACTGACCGCAGTCTACCTGGTCAGTATCTGTTTACCTTGTCAGTTAGATACTGGCCGCAGTTTACCTTGTCAGTTAGATACTGACCACAGTTTACCTGGTCAGTTAGATACTTACCATAGTTTACCTGGTCAGTATCTGTTTACCTTGTCAGTTAGATACTGGCCGCAATTTACCTTGTCACTTAGATACTAACCGCAGTTTACCTGGTCAGTTAGATACTGACCGCAGTCTACCTGGTCAGTATCTGTTTACCTGGTCGGTTAGATACTGACCACAGATTACCTTGTCAATTAGATACTGACCGCAGTTTACCTGATCAGTAAGATACTGACCACAGTTTACCTGGTCAGTATCTGTTTATCTTGTCAGTTAGATACTGGCCGCAGTTTACCTTGTCAGTTAGATACTAACCGCAGTTTACCTGGTCAGTTAGATACTGACCGCAGTCTACCTGGTCAGTTAGATACTGACCGCAGTCTACCTGGTCAGTATCTGTTTACCTGGTCGGTTAGATACTGACCACAGATTACCTTGTCAATTAGATACTGACCGCAGTTTACCTGATCAGTAAGATACTGACCACAGTTTACCTGGTCAGTATCTGTTTATCTTGTCAGTTAGATACTGGCCGCAGTTTACCTTGTCAGTTAGATACTAACCGCAGTTTACCTGAACAGTTAGATACTGACCGCAGTTTACCTGGTCAGTTAGATACTGACCGCAGTCTACCTGGTCAGTATCTGTTTACCTTGTCAGTTAGATACTGACCGCAGTTTACCTTGTCAGTTAGATACTGACCGCAGTTTACCTGATCAGTAAGATACTGACCGCAGTTTACCTGGTCGGTTAGATACTGACCGCAGTTTACCTTGTCAGTTAGATACTGACCGCAGTTTACCTGATCAGTTAGATACTGACCGCAGTTTACCTGGTCGGTTAGATACTGACCGCAGTTTACCTTGTCAGTTAGATACTGACCGCAGTTTACCTGATCAGTTAGATACTGACCGCAGTTTACCTGGTCGGTTAGATACTGACCGCAGTTTACCTTGTCAGTTAGATACTGGCCGCAGTTTACCTGGTCAGTTAGATACTAACCGCAGTTTACCTGAACAGTTAGATACTGACCGCAGTTTACCTGGTCAGTTAGATACTGACCGCAGTCTACCTGGTCAGTATCTGTTTACCTGGTCGGTTAGATACTGACCAAGTTTACCTTGTCAATTAGATACTGACCACAGTTTACCTGGTCAGTATCTGTTTACCTTATCAGTTAGATACTGACCGCAGACTACCTGGTCAGTTATATACTGTCCAAAGTTTACCTGGTCAATAAGATACTAACCACAGTTTACCTGAACAGTTAGATACTGTCCAAAGTTTACCTGGTCAGTAAGATACTAACCGCAGTTTACCTGAACAGTTAGATACTGACCGCAGTCTACCTGGTCAGCGGTCAGTTTACCTTGCCAGCTAGATACTGACCGCAGTTTACCTGGTCAGTTAGATACTGACCACAGGTAAATCCCAACCTGACAATTGAATCATGTCACTTGTATTTGATATTCAACATACATAGTTTTTTTAGCATTTAAAGCCACGTTTGTAAGATAGTTGGGTTCTCCTGAATATCACATCAGCGACGAGAAGCTTAAGTTAACGACGCAATCAGCATATCAAGTTTTAATGCATTTCAATAGTGAAACGTTTAGAATATATCGATGAAGATGTTCTCACATTCTTCCTGTTTAAGTTCTTTCCTTTTCATGACTGACTAGTTCTAGAAGGACGAAACAGCTGTATAATGCAGATTAAGACGTTGTTTGACTATTCTGTGTCAATGGTGCTATTTACTTGAATGTCTTGTACAATCCTTTAAAAATCCTGCGACAACTTTCTACTTTCAGCTGTCATTGTTCCGTGAAGTAAGTAATCAAGGTGAAATGAATTTCATTTACATTTATGGGTTTTGATAAACTGATTTGTCATTTTGGTTATTAATATTATTGTATATCTATCTATCTATTTATTTCTAGTTGATAAACGTATACTCCATCAAGGATGACGAACTGAAGGCTGCACGATATTTGTCAGGTTATTAAAATACTGAAATCACGTTACTATCTAGTCTTAAGCTCGTCTATAAATCTTTATCTCTATTGAGCTATGTGCCATTTACAACATTTTACTGTGTTAATCTATTACTTGTGCTATAACTTCTGTTGTTCTGTTGTTGCAGGGACTTTTCTTTTTAAATTCTTCAGTTGTTCTTGTTGTAACCTCCTTAACTTCTCGTGGAAATTATTTATCATTAAGTTCATTTTCAAATTCAAAATTTTTGCGCGTTTTTCTTTATCATTAAATGACATAAGGATATTATTTGTATCTTTAAACCCCTGCTTATTTTCAAAATTATTCGCTTTCTGCATCATTTTCTCAGACAACCGATAATTAGGTAAAATCCTCTTCAAAATCATACCTACATTTTCTGCTGTTACCTTGGGTGTATGCAGCAAATGGAATTCCACAAACAGCATGTAACGCACCTTTAGGTCAAGATGGTCAGTATTTAGTAATTCTTTGGCTGTTTTAACTAACTGTTCATCGATCTTCGCATCTAATGAAATAAGTGGTTTGCTAATATTGATAACATGTGGCTTGGGTGTCCACATTTGGTAGGCTTTGTCCTCCTGATCAATGTTCGCAAAAATGACGGTATACAGGGCTTCCTCGACTGTCTGTAAAACCTTGTACTTTATAGTGTTTAGTCCATCTTCCTTCCACCGATCAGTGCTTAAGTGCAAAAGCCGATGCCTGCAAGTAACATTAACATTAATTAATTCTGAACAGGAATCCCCCACCCCACGTCCCGCCTCCTTAAAAATGTAATTTATGGTAGCTTCCTTGACAATTACTTAAATGGTTTTTTTGAAGTTACGAGGAGTAAAAAATACGACGTTTTAAGTTCATAGCCAATACAACTAGTAAGTACAATATCTGTCTAGGTTCTTACCTGTCTTCATTAATATCACTCTGATTATGTCGCAACATTCGGTAGGTACTCACATCAGAGGTATACCTAGTCACTGCCAGGCCCACCGTCCTAATCCTACAAACAAAATAATAATAATAACATTTGGTAGGTATTCACATCAGGGGTATTTCTAGAAACTGCCAGGCCCACCGTCCTAATTCTACAGATACGACACTAGCAATACGTCCTTAACCTAGAAATACTATAACAATATTAATAGGTAGATACTCACATCAGATGTATACCTGTTAGAACTACCGTCCTTAACCTGCAGATATGATAGCATTAGGTAGATACTCACATCAGATGTATACCTGCCAGAATCGTCCTTAACCTACAGATATGATAGCATTAGGTAGACACTCACATCAGATGTATACCTGCCAGAACCGTCCTTAACCTGCAGATATGATAGCATTAGGTAGATACTCACATCAGATGTATACCTGTTAGAACTACCGTCCTTAACCTACAGATATGTTAGCATTAGGTAGATACTCACATCAGATGTATACCTGCCAGAACCGTCCTTAACCTACAGATATGATAGCATTAGGTAGACACTCACATCAGATGTATACCTGCCAGAACCGTCCTTAACCTACAGATATGATAGCATTAGGTAGATACTCACATCAGATGTATACCTGTTAGAACTACCGTCCTTAACCTACAGATATGATAGCATTAGGTAGATACTCACATCAGATGTATACCTGTTAGAACTACCGTCCTTAACCTACAGATATGATAGCATTAGGTAGATACTCACATCAGATGTATACCTGCCAGAACCGTCCTTAACCTACAGATATGATAGCATTAGGTAGATACTCACATCAGATGTATACCTGTTAGAACTACCGTCCTTAACCTACAGATATGATAGCATTAGGTAGATACTCACATCAGATGTATACCTGCCAGAACCGTCCTTAACCTACAGATATGATAGCATTAGGTAGATACTCACATCAGATGTATACCTGCCAGAACCGTCCTTAACCTACAGATATGATAGCATTAGGTAGATACTCACATCAGATGTATACCTGCCAGAATCGTCCTTAACCTACAGATATGATAGCATTAGGTAGATACTCACATCAGATGTATACCTGCCAGAACCGTCCTTAACCTACAGATATGATAGCATTAGGTAGATACTCACATCAGATGTATACCTGTTAGAACTACCGTCCTTAACCTACAGATATGATAGCATTAGGTAGATACTCACATCAGATGTATACCTGCCAGAACCGTTCTTAACCTACAGATATGATAGCATTAGGTAGATACTCACATCAGATGTATACCTGTTAGAACTACCGTCCTTAACCTACAGATATGATAGCATTAGGTAGATACTCACATCAGATGTATACCTGCCAGAACCGTTCTTAACCTACAGATATGATAGCATTAGGTAGATACTCACATCAGATGTATACCTGTTAGAACTACCGTCCTTAACCTACAGATATGATAGCATTAGGTAGATACTCACATCAGATGTATACCTGCGAGAACCACCGACCTAATCCTTTAGATACAATAACATTAGATAGATACTCACATCAGAGATATATTACATCCTGTTACTTTAGATTACATTACCACATAATGACATTTTGAGATAATTATCATGTTTAAATTGTAAAAATAATGCGATATACATTCAAATTATAACGATTTGTCGAGGAACTGATCATGACAGGTCAAATTAAATTATCCTAAATGAAGACCAAATGCTTAAGCTTTACTTGTCTCGATAATTACCTCGACAATCTATCTAGTTTGGCCTATCTTGTCGCAATATGGATGTTATGTTACAAATATGCCACTATAATATCTGTCTATTTTATCAAATAATTAGCAAGTCTTCGAATTCTCCATTGACAATGGTATATGTCTATTACTACGGTATGGAATTACAGGGGTGAATTCAATCCCCTAACTAAGAAAACTAAAGCCAATCGTGACCAGTTTTACAAGCTTTTAAATCGTGCATCTCACTAGAACACTCCTACCTGGCATACATATCATCGTCCTCTCCACCCCATCCAAAGTACTTGTTAGAGAAGCCATTCACTGCCTCAATGTGTTCCTTTGTCATCGCTGTCACTCCTCCAAACAGCTTCAAATAAGGTAATCTGTCCAGGAAAATTTTACCCTAGATTACGCATCTATAAAGTTTTACAATCTGATGGATTCCTAACAACAGAAATCATGTACATTTCTCGTGTTGTCTACATTTGGGTTTAGAAAAATACATTTCATTAGAAAGAGGTTTTAAAGGGATAAACATTTCCAGAAATGTGTTATTTATTATTGTTTTCTGACGTCTGTTCCCGATAAAATATGAACAAATGTTATCAGCTTTTTACATTTTCACAAATCTTCCCTATTTCCCTATTTTAATGTCGTAGACGCCTCTGTCAGCTACATTGATGAGGTGATGTTACGTGGGATAGTTTACATCAAAAAATGTTTGCGCTCATCTCCAGAGACGGCATTTTCAGATACAATCAATATGGTATGCGCAGAATTATTGTACTCTGAAGCTGACGCTTAAGATATATTGCTGGATATATTCGAACTGAACATTACATGAGAAACCGTGCAAGTTCATCAAATATATAGAGTGTGAGATTTTTCTCATCACAGAGAGCGAGAATTTCCACTCAACAGAACATTTTGCAGGTGCATTAAGTTTTAATGCTTGTACAAAAAGGGTTGCCAATTCGACGAATTGCATGAAACGATGTTTTGTAATCTGTCAGGCAATCAATCAACTAACCAACCAGGCAATCCGTCAGCCAATCAAAGAGCCGATAACATTGCTAGTCATCGGTTAGGTGAAATCCAAACTCATTAGGCTTTTAGTACTGTTTCGTGGAATAATGAATGATTCAAAACTGTAGGTTCTTGTAAATTGCAAATTATCGACATACATTTATTTCATCTTTTATACCTCGACTCTTTTATAAGAATGTATATCTGAATAACGAAGTAACTGAAGACGTCACAAGTAATATTACTCACTCGTAGTCAAATTTATCTATGGCAACGGACATGTGTCTGGGATTGTCAGGACAGTAGTACATATTATTATCGTTTTCCGGGATCAGATCCACGTCATGAAAGATGAAACACTGATAGCCATATCTCCGCGACACCTCCAGGAATCCTATGTTCATTATTATTGCTTTGTTGAATTTAACAGATTCGGCCTTCAAAAGAAACAAACAAAATAATTACTTACTCATTATCTACGTCACGTGATGACAATTCTATGGACATCACAAGATAACATGCGCCTCTATTTTTAGAACAATTATCTTTTACACGTCATTTACATGAGACATAAATTCAATGTGTCTTCGAGTAACAATACCTAACGTTATAAAAATGGTTGAGTAACATGATAGCACACAGATTACACATATTAGGACCACCTATTGGTGTCAATGTAGGTAGAAAGTCTCACTCAGGGAAAGAGCTGACCGCGTCTCAGTAAAGAAGTTGGCTAAAACATATAGGTACTTCTAGATGATTCTGTTGATCTTAAAATATGGTCATACGTGTTAAAGAATGTAAAGAACGATATGGTTGGATGGGAGTTTCAATGTAAAATTCAGTACAACAACAACGCAGTCACTTATATTAAATATAATGAGATGTATTTACCAATTTGATGACAAAAATGCCGTATTCAAGTTGTTGTTTCTGGAGGAATGGGTGAAGGTTGTTCAGAAGTATCCGTAAATGAGATTGGCGGTTTCGGTATGGGATAATAATGGCTACTCTGTGACGTGCAGCACACGAAGCTGGTCGGTAGGTGCCACCAAACTTCAGTCCAGATATTCTCTCGGCCAATTCTTTCTCGGTGTACTCCATCATATCCACTGATACTGGACCACCTAAACGCAATGTTGAAGATGTTTTCAATATGGCGTTATAAATAAAATGTGTCGCTAGTATTACCGGTAGATTTATTGCAGGTGAGGGTGGAAGAGAGATAACTTAACTAATGATACAGCTGATACCGAGTAGCGAAATCCGGAATCTTACAATGTCATATTCACTCACTGGAGCTACCCTTTTTCTTCCAAAAAAATGAAAATGCATCTAGGACTAAATTTGACCACATCGGACTTCCCGTCACTAAAACATAATTAGTCTGTCATATTGCAAAACCAGGAATTCACAAACTCAACGAAGGACATGGTCTTAAACACTGTCTGTCTAGCAAATAGTAAAACATTAAGGCCAGGTCTTTTGAAAGGATACGTAATAAACATCGATAAATAAGTACTGAAACACTTTTCACGACACAATTACCACCCTGGATATATATCTCGATAGTACCGTACAGCTAACACGACACAAGTACCACCCGGGATACATATCTAGACAGTACCGCACAGTTAACACGACATAAGTACCACCCGGGATACATATCTAGAGAGTACCGTACAGTTAACACGACACAAGTACCACCCGGGATACATATCTAGACAGTACCGTACAGTTAACATGACACAAGTACCACCCGGGATACATATCTAGACAGTACCGTACAGTTAACACGACATAAGTACCACCCGGGATACATATCTAGATATTACCGTACAGTTAACACGACACAAGTACCACCCGGAATACAGATCTAGATAGTACCAAGCTGCGAAGTGTGTCATCGATATGTTGGTGATCGGATAGACAGCCCTTCCCGGTTTGTAAGCATATGTTTATTTGTTATTACTATCGTATTTATGTATTTATATATAATTACATATCGCTACCCTTTTCCGTTTATATGTGTGAGAGAGATTAATTGAAAGTTTTATGTTTAATTATAGGGTTTTCCATGTTTCTAAGAAATAAATGTTACCACACAACATAGTCTCCGAGTCACGCCAATGGGAACTTCCTGTGTCCCTCTGTTAGCCGACTTAGTTTTTCTTCTCATACGAGTCTGAGTTTATCGAGAACTTTACACAACATGGCTCTAAAACCTGGCAAAGTCGTTTCATTTCAGTTTCAGATATATGTTGACTTCTTGTCTTTAAATAACACGAAATGTTTTGACCATGTCCATCGTACATAATCACCATTATCACCATAATTTCCCTATTGTGATTTTTCCAATTCTGGATGGCAATATCCCTGCATCCCAGCCTATTGTGTTTACATGTTGCAGTTTATTCGATAGTCAATGACCTGTTCCAATTATCACGCTTGTCGCGTAACAAGGGTTTCAAAAGATGCAGGTTGATGTAAATTATGGGAATGTTTTACGGTCATCATAGTGACGTCATTAAGAACTTTACCCAAACTAGGGATCAAGGGGAACCACCATACCTCCATCACAACACCTGTTATGGGACGTTCGCAGACTATACGTATAATGGCTAAATCATCTACGATGTTGTAGTAATGGCATTTATAACAATATAAATGTTAATCAGCAATGATTACGATTGTCGACAAATCTTGAAATAAGATTCCAAACGTTCCTCTACAATTCAAAAGTATAGCAATATGTATATACACATTGTCAATACCTAACAAATGTCATACAGACTGTCCATGTACCCGTGATAATCAGAATGTGCATTTAATAAACGTTATTTTTTTAGTTTAGTTGCATAGTCTACATATAAACTTGATAGTAAAACTTTGTGCATTTTTGGTTATTTAAGATTAGGCCTGTACAACCCTATACACAAATGCAAGCAATAATGATATGTAGAAACGGGTTTGTCAGAATACTCGACCCTTATAACGTGACCCCTACGATAGTTTAAAGTAAATATAACAAACTTACCGAGACCAGGAGGAACCACGGGACATGTATGGGGGTCCGACTTAGTGCTGTTTAAAACTTCATGCTTATACAATGTTGTCTTGACGAAGCTTTTACTCGAATCCACCAAGCTATCATGGTACATTGCTATAACTCCAGACTGATGTATCTGTGATGACGGTAATGATGCCCTATCATAACTAGCTGTATACTTGATAAACACAACAAATAACACAATTTGAGATGTTATAACTATAAGTAGTCTTCTCCAAAATATTCCTACATCCAGGACACTCAGACGTTTAATATACCTAACCATTGTAAGGTCGTAGTTTACCGTTCCAGATAACCACTCAACCCATAATGATACGGCTGGTTTTTAAAGCTCCACATCACTGACTTTGAATTGTTTCTTTTGTTCTGTTCCATATCACTCATTGTTTATCTTATTGTTTTGTATTGCTCAACATTTTACATTTTTCTTCAACTGGTAAACCTGTAAAAAAAAATATTAAGATAATTAGATTTTTTGTGTTGATAACATGCTGAATAATTTCCTATTAATCACGAACGGGACTGGGCATAATTACCCTTTTTTCATTCCATTATGGATCATGTAACATGTTTGCCATCCATCAATATACACTAATACGAGACAATGCTATTTGATACAGGCAAAGGTCACAGCTCGTTTTTCTAAACACGTATCCAGAGTAGAACCACCCAGAGAGTGTTTGGCTTAGCTGATTTGCCATATTAACACCGGCTCCGGTCACTTGGCTTACCAAGTCTAATATGTAGAAGGAATCGTACAGAAATTGTTCAAGTTTACAAAATTCTGAGCACAACGATGATGTTGAGAAAGATAAATTCTTTTCTATGCCTCCTGTTAACTCTACTTGAGGGCATTCGAAAAACACGTAATGAAAGCATGGTCTAGGCTAAGTACCACAAACAGCATATTTAATAACAGAGTTGTAGACATGTCTACCGGAAAAAGTGATACATGCATCTGCAACTAGCCTAAACACTGGAGCGACGGACAATCCAAGTTTTCACCTACATGATATATTGTTACCCGATCTGACATGTGATCATACAAGGATACGCGTCCAGACGTTTGCATATATCAGTGTTTAGATGACATAATTGACAATAGTTACAAAGAATCCAGCTGTCACGTTTTGTTTTTTTTTTTTTTTCTAGAGTTGAACTTGACCGTCCTACTGCGGGTTAATACACAAATCATCTAGTTTCCAAGGCGTTAGGTCTCGATCAACCGTTTACAATAGTGGCAGTATAATGACTTTCATTACTCATGAAAGTTTAATTACACAGATAGCATTCCCATGTCGTATAGTTAGATCAAATATAGGCACATACTATCGACTATAATCACAGTACCCAAGAATTAGAATGTACGACGTTTGAAATGAAATATGTTTTGAGATATTCTGAAAATTCTTTACGGAAGATGACCATTATCGTATACAGAATGTTTTATTCTATTTAACGAAGAATAAAGTACAAAAATGGATTTTCTGGTAATCTCGCACTTTTATATACACTAGCCAACAAGCTAAGATATTGATTCCTAGTCCTATCTACTGTTGAGAGTGTTCCGTGACAGAATATCATATGTGTCTGTATGACAGTCTCTACTCCTTAGAGTCTGTGTGAAATGCAAGTCGATTTGCCAGGGCACTCCGGTCACCTGTAACATATATACCAATGTGCTAACTGTTTCACTGAGCCACCCTGTAGCTTGCGAAACATTACACGCATTTCAGTATACAGTAAATCTTATTAACGCCATACTTACACTTTAACACAGAGAATTCCGTCTACAACATCACATAAACATGTGGTAACTTGGACTGTTGATATACCTGTCAGGACGCCATTAACTACAGTCAAATACCGAGTAATTGTGGGGAATACCCACTACCTGTGCAGGTGTGGCGTTTTCAATTGTGATTGTATTTAGTTGTGACTTTGTGATTATAGCGCATGCGCAAGCACCAATTAATAACAGAGCTTAATACCAGGATTGGATCTGATAGATTTTAAAGGAACAAAGTAATTTGAGAAATTTCAACGATGTAAATGGTGAGATTTTGACTTTGAGCAATCAGCTAATTAATACAGATCGGGAAAAAAGAAGTAATTTTAGGAGAAAATATATATAAACCAGTCTCCATCGTTGTCATACCATACCTACCGCTCCCTTCTCCGTCAGTGATTTCTACAACAAATGTACGTCGTTCTCTTCGTCTAATTTTTTAATTAAATGAGACTTACCTGTTATATTGTTATGTTATGTTATATTGAACAACTCAAACATATGTACATACAAGAACATATATATATATGGGATATAACTGGAAACATGAAGTTAAGATCAGGAGAAAATGTCAGATAACAGCTGTATCACTCAAATGCAAGAGTCTACAAACTACTCGCACAAAATGAAACGTAAAATTATCAATATCGTTGATAATAAGTCTGTATAAAAGTTCAAACGATGATCAGTGACTAGAGATCAGTTCCTTGAGTCCTACATGTTCGAAAACCACAAAGTTAATAATATATACCAAATTCAATTAACATAGTTCCATAGTACGGAACTCCCTCTAGAACGATGGACACACAATCTTAACAGTAAAACTGCACAAACAACTCGATTGAGATAATACCATCAAATGTCATTCACCAATAGTATTTGTCTCTGCTGTACGATCTCACGGGTATTCCAGTAATGTCAATACAGAAAGATCACAAAGTTCTAACATACCATGTATAAATGTCAATGAATCTTGAAAACCGTGCTAGAATCCACAAAAGGTTTTTTGTAAAACTTTGCAAACGTGCTGGTATTGCTCCATCCAGCTATACTTAATATTGAGGTTATTGTTACCTGCAGTCTAGATGCTGCAGAAACTGATGCTGCTCTTGTGCTTTGCGGTGTAAAGATATTCATATCTATACCAGCACCAGCCAACGTTGTCTTAATCCATCTTGCTAATGTTGCTTTAGACACTGGTTTGTAAGGCTTTTGAAACCCCAAAAACAGTTTTGAGTATTGTCCTCTAAGAGGTTCAGTTCTTGTTAGGTAGTCTTTACATATTGACACAACGCATAGCTGTTTGTCCTTAAACTGCGGAAGGGTTATCTCCCTTTGATGGAAACCTGGATGGGTCTGTTTTAGTGCATCTCCAAATCTAAGTTTCAGACTAGAATCTGTTAGAGAAATGTTCTTTATATCCAACAAGTGAAGGGATTGTAGTTGTTGGCCTGTTGATAATGCCAACAAAGTAACCAGTTTTAGTGTTAAAGATGTTAGTGTCCCACAGTCCTTAGTCCCATGAAACATTGTTCCTTGGCAAAGCCAGTCGTAAATTGAATACTCATAAACTCATTGATCAAGGGATGAGTGCCACATCCTCGGTCATTAATAACAACAAATGTGGACAACATCGACCTAGCGCTGTTAATGGCACTATAACCAAGTCCTTTGTGGTAAAGTGATGTTAAAAATCTCAAAATGTCTCTGATATCAGGTGACACGGCACAAATGTGTTCCGAACTCGCAAATGTTGTCCATTTTTTTTCTTAAATGTTGAATACTGCTTGACTGTTGATGGTCGCCATGATGAAGATATGATCCGTTCAACATCTGGTGGAATTGACAACATTTTGAGGGATCTCCTGACACCCGACAAGCCATTAATGTCATCTTTGGAAGGTTGTTCCTGTCCCTGGTTCCTCGGTATGGATGGCTGAGGATTCTGTTGAACGTAGGTAAAATAAAAACACAATCAATAATACAGTTCAGAAGATGTGAATGCCACGGCTGAGTAGACTACATTGGTGCTATTAATAAAGCTTGTGTTTTATCCTCACATATTTTGTGTAGAATTTTACTCAATAAAGAGAATGGCGGAAAAATGAAACTGTAAGTGTTCCATGGTAATGTAAAAGCATCCACTGCACATGCAAATGGACCAGGCTTCCAAGATACATACTTAGGAAGCTGTGCATTCAGTCTGGAGGCAAACAAATCAATTTGTGGTCTGCCCCAAATTTTCACCAAGATTTGAAAAATACTTGTATATAACTTCCATTCTGTGTTTTCATGTTCAAGTCTACTTTCCGTATCAGCCTCAACATTTTCACAACCTGGAATGTGGACTGCGGATAACCATATATCCCTATCAATAGCCCAATTCCAGAGTTTTACACCCAACTCATTACAGGCTTTCGTCTGGTGATAACTGATATCATACTTTTCGAAAGCTGAAATTCCAATCCTTCCCGAGAGTTTACAAAACAAAAACAAAAGAGTATGATAAACAAAAGAATAAACAAAAGAGTCTGATAAACAAAAGAATAAACAAAAGAGTCTGATAAACAAAAGAGTATGATAAACAAAAGAGTATGATAAACAAAAGAGATAAACAAAAGAGTGATAAACAAAAGAGTATGATAAACAAAAGAATAAACAAAAGAGTATGATAAACAAAAGAGTATGATAAACAAAAGAATAAACAAAAGAGTCTGATAAACAAAAGAATAAACAAAAGAGTCTGATAAACAAAAGAGTATGATAAACAAAAGAGTATGATAAACAAAAGAGTCTGATAAACAAAAGAGTATGATAAACAAAAGAATAAACAAAAGAGTATGATAAACAAAAGAGTATGATAAACAAAAGAGTATGATAAACAAAAAAATAAACAAAAGAAGAGTATGATAAACAAAAGAATAAACAAAAGAGTCTGATAAACAAAAGAGTATGATAAACAAAAAAATAAACAAAAGAGTATGATAAACAAAAGAATATGATAAACAAAAGAATAAACAAAAGAGTATGATAAACAAAAGAGTATGATAAACAAAAGAGTATGATAAACATAAGACAGACTTTACAATTTGTTATTTTGGTGTCCGTACATAAGACAGACTTTACAATTTGTTATTTTGGTGTCCGTACATAAGACAGTCTTTACAGTTTGTTATTTTGGTGTCCGTACATAAGACAGACTTTACAATTAGTTATTTTGGTGTCCGTACATAAGACAGTCTTTACAGTTTGTTATTTTGGTGTCCGTACATAAGACAGACTTTACAATTTGTTATTTTGGTGTCCGTACATAAGACAGACTTGGTGTTAGTGGGTTGAAAAGTTCTCGTGTTACAATTAGTTATTTTGGTGCCCGTACATAAGACAGACTTTACAATTTGTTATTTTGGTGTCCGTACAGACGACAGACTTGGTGTTAGTGGGTTGAAGAGTTCTCGTGTTACAATTTGTTATTTTGGTGCCCGTACATAAGACAGACTTTACAATTTGTTATTTTGGTGTCCGTACATAAGACAGACTTGGTGTTAGTGGGTTGAAAAGTTCTCGTGTTACAATTTGTTATTTTGGTGTCCGTACATTAGACAGACTTGGTGTTAGTGGGTTGAAGAGTTCTCGTGTTACAATTTATTATTTTGTTTCACAGAACAGGCGATATGAGAGTTTCACAGAACAGGCGATGTGAGAGTTTCAGAAAACGGGCGATGTGAGAGGTTGACAGAACAGGCGATGGGAGAGTTTCACAGAACAGGCGATGCGAGAGGTTGATAAAACATGCGATGTAAGAGTTTCACAAAACAGGCGATGTGAGAGTTTCACAGAACAGGCGATGTCAGAGAATGATAGAACAGGCGATGTAAGAGTTTAACAAAACAGGCGATATGAGAGTTTCACAGAACAGGCGATGGGAGAGTTTCACAGAACAGGCGGTGTGAGAGTTTCACAGAACAGGCGATGTCAGAGAATGATAGAACAGGCGATGTAAGAGTTTCACAAAACAGGCGATGTGAGAGTTTCACAAAACAGGCGATGTGAGAGTTTCACAGAGCAGGCACAGGCACTCGAGGCCAGGATATTATTTTTTAAACGTTGATTTTTGTTTTAGCACTCATGACTGACGTTATTTAAACGAAATATCAGCAGAATTCAAGTTTATGTGCCGGTTGACAAATCCGAGGTCCACGGTCATTAAAAATACACAAGGCAAGCAACTCCAGATTTTAAAAAATCGACCCCTCGCTTGGAAACTGGCTCAAAAAAAGTAGTTATGATAAGTTCCTTGTAAAACAATATGTATCCGTAGGTAGTGTGTATATTTACCTTTTATTTGGTGCATAACATTACAGGCAACGAGAAATTCACAATACGTACATGAGATTAACATCTCAATAATCAGAGATTTTATCGTCCATGTAATTATCTTTGACGGAAGTAACATGCCATTTCAAGGGCGGTCACTCCGACTTTTTGGGAGAGGAGTTCCGGATAGCACTATACCAGTGAACAGGTAAGAAAGGTTCCGATGTCATTACGCGCGTAACTTCAAAATAGATATTTTTATTTCTACAAATACATTTGCGGGGATGGAAAAATAATGGCTGGGCATTTAAAAAAAAAATAGAAAAAAAATCATTTAATTTCCAATTTCTAAGTTAATATATTTCCCCCACGATATTTTTCATAAATTGCGCCCTTTTTTCATTATCTGCATGATTTTTTTTCTATTTTTTTTTTTGAAAAAAAATTCTCATTACCGCCAGCTTGATTGAAATTTGATGCATTCTGTATAATCCCTTACCATGATATTGTATCCGAGTTGGCAACTGTGGACTTTCTTTGCCCAGCCATTATTTTTCCATCCCCGCAAATGTATTTGTAGTTGCTTGCCTTGTGTATTTTTAATGACCGTGGACCTCGGATTTGTCAACCGGCACATAAACTTGAATTCTGCTGATATTTCGTTTAAATAACGTCAGTCATGAGTGCTAAAACAAAAATCAACGTTTAAAAAATAATATCCTGGCCTCGAGTGCCTGTGAGAGCAGGCGGTGTGAGAGTTTCACAGAACAGGCGATGTCAGAGAATGATAGAACAGGCGACGTAAGAGTTTCACAAAACAGGCGATGTGAGAGTTTCACAGAACAGGCGATGTGAGAGTCCACAGAACAGGCGATGTCAGAGAATGATAGAACAGGCGATGTGAGAAAATGAAATGACAGGCAACGTGAGAAGACGATAAACGATGTGATAGATTGGTATTTTGTAGTGACGATATCGATAACAGTAAGCCGTGTCGCAAATAATATCACGATACATGCAAGTTATTGATGCTGAAACACAACAATCGAGTTTATAAGCACGATTGACCATTCGGGTAACAACTTTTTCGTGAAAATTCATAAACATTTTCTTTTATACTTTTTTTTTTCATTTTGAAGGACATTGCAACAACAGAAAGAAAGAAAAATAGATCCGCGAAAATCACAGTTTTTAGGTATATCTATAATTCTTTCTTTATCAATATATCGATAACTTGTCACAAGACGTCAAACCTAGAACAAAATCGATACGATCTTAATAGGCCAAGCCCGTTAGTGTAAATACAATTGACATAGCTATAACAACTGGCCTTTCATGCTGAAATATTATACCATACCGAATGTAATCCTGTGAAGTATTCAGAATATGTTTATTTATTACCACAGCCAAACTTTTGCTAAATTTCTTTCTTTATATAAATGATTTTCTATAAATTCCCTTTCCGTCACAGCCTGTACCTCAAAGCTTTAAAACCTGGTGGGTTTTAATGGTCATCCGTCTTTTGTGTGCTGTTTTAGTATGTAAACTGTCTATATCTTTTCTTATTTTCTTTTCCAATCGATAATTGGTACACAGGCCTATCTATTGTATGTTATTGATAATTTAGCTCCAGAATACATTTCCCGAATTATATAACATCATGTTTTGCACAGTCGATATATTTAATTTTACCATGTGTTTAGTGATTTCGGATAACCTATTTAATGCCTATGCATTACATACAATTCCGAGAGAAAATATCCGAAAGATGTTTTCTGTGTAAGGTATTGGTAGTTTCTAAATTCAAACCACTGCATCTTATCTGTTTTTATTGTGATTCGTCATTGTTGCATTGAGGCGTATAAATCTTGTACACAAATACCAATCGTGGAAACATATTTCAATTTTGACATTACGAACACAGATAAAGGATTAAAACTTTATGGCTCAGTAACATACAGTGTTGCCCAACCTTGATCTGTCTAAGTGAGTAAAGCAACAGTTCAGCCAGTAAGCGCTAGGTCCGTTCCCACCAGTGACTCAGACTCACTGGTTAGCCCTACTAACAGTGGTTATATGTCCTAAACACTTATCCAGGGTACACAAAAAAAGGGACATCTGGATTAATCGCCAGCATGGGTTTCCATCCTGCACTTTTGTGTGTTTTTGTAATCATGTCTTGTTCATTAATCGTGGAAGCGAGAAATCCTAGACAGTCATTGTGTGATAGCCAGACTGCTGTTAGGTAGGTATATAACATCTATTTACTGACGTATTCTGTCAGAGGTAAACTTCCTTAATATCACAGTCGTTCTGTTAAAAAAAATGTTAACACATAATCTAAATAAATGAAATTTGTTTAAAATGATGTGAAGATACTTGACAGGTCTAAATTATGAGGAAGAACTCGTCTATCTTCTATTCAAATATATATCTATGATCAGAGTTTAAAGTTTCCTGTACAAATTTTACAGTTAGTTAAATTTCCTTTTCTTTTTATTTTTAAGGATATGAAGAGCTGAGTTCCGTATAAAACTGAAAGGATTTTTTTTTACAAATTTTGGTTTATAAATGTTGTGAAAAACACAGAGCTTTTGGGGTCATTCCTGAGCTTATTCTGAATATATGTAAATAACATCATTTATAACGACATGTTTTTTTTCTCTCTAAATAATAAATTAATCTATTGATACAAGTTAAAATAAATTGTTCTATTTCATTTCACTGGCTTCGCTTACATTCTATGTATATAAAGTAATACATACTATGTACATAGAAAGTTTCCTGATGTCATGTGACACTTGTAGAGGCCATACAAGGGTAGCAATCTCAACCAAGGTCAGTGGATTGATGATGTTATACACGATTTTTTATAGGTATAGATTCATTTGTTGGTCAGCAATCAATATATTGATTCTAGTGACAAGTGACAAGTGTGATCCACGTCTGAGATAAAAAAAAAATAATGTTGCATTATTTGGTGATAATGCATTGCGTTTTTAATGATTTTAGAGGGAAGTATTTGTAGTACACATGTATTTCATTTTAAAAACTATTTATAGTAACCGTGTCAGCCACTCATTGTCCATTGTCGTTACTCTAAACCACGACAGGATGGATAGGATGACTTATACAGGGCATGTTTCACTGTCTAAACAATAGTGTATAGACTTGGAGTTATTTAAAATATTCAAAATAGAAAGGCTTCTACGATATATAAAATCACATCCCTTTATATACAATATGTTTACCAGTTAGTCATTTAAGACCATATTTTATGCACTGCCTGTAACTAGATTTGTATTAAAAGGTACTGTTCGCTTGTGTGTCTTTGCACCATTCTTTGATATTGTGGATGGTAGATACTGCAGATGGCGAAAATATCAACCCGTTAAAATAATTCTAAATTAAACTCATATTCGGTGAAACTAGAGCGAAATATGAACAAAAGAAAGAGTTAGACGGAGACGCCTGAAAAGTAATAGGAGAATCAAATCAGATGCTCCGGAAGAGTAAGCGTCTGCTGCTTCATCGACGACAACCGCCAGGCAAATAAAAAAAAACATCAACTATATGCACATAGAAATTTACTTTTTTCCCTGGAGATCATTATAACGTCTGTAGAACTTCTCCATATTCTTCATCAAGCTTCACACTCAAATCCTGTGGTGTGAGGTTGTTTTACAGCTGCCAGCATCTTGCACGAAAATCGTGATACCGGTAAAAAAAACCGGAGGTTTGCCTGAAACTGCATGAAAGTTTTAATTTAACAAGGTCGTGGTACGATCTTCAAACATAGTCATGAACTTGAAGTTGTATGTTTTTTATAATGAAAATTATTTAATGTATTGAATTTTGGCCCTTAGCATAACTGATAAGTCTAAGAAGGACGACACAGCCGTACGAAGCTGTTTGATTCATTATTTGCCTTCAATACCTAATTGTGAATCTGTAATGAAAATCGTTACCATTTTTTCTCTATGAACAATCCTTCCATGACTTTTTTTCAGCACTGTTTCTGACGGGAACCATACGATCCCCCGTCATTGTAGGAGAGGTAGAATGACGTGGCACTACCCACAAGGAAACATGATCCTCCACTTCCACCCGTTCAACCCCCACAACAGAACTATCTGGGTTTGTGTACAAAATGATATAGCAGAAGTTGGTATGGCCGTGTCAGACATGACAAGGAGGAGTGAGCGAGAGCTTCCAGACATTGGTAATATACCTGTTCAAAGTTAATTTAGAATATGAAATTCCCCAATAACATTGATAATAAAACTACTATAGTGAGTTTGTTTCTCTGACCAGGTGGATTGAGTGCACAAATTTCGGTTCAATAAGACAAATATAGCATTATGGTAACGCGAGACACTTTTCTATTATAGTAATGTAATAGTGATATATATATGGGAGATGGTGTTGGGCGCAAGTCATGAACAACTCGGCTTGTCTTTAAATCTCAACATGTTTTACGAACGCATTTGATTTGACCAACAATGGGGACTAAATGATGAGAAGATAAGTCTTATGAAGTTGTTCATTTCACAAGCAAGAAAACAATTTGGTACAACTAACTGATGTAGTGCTCTATTTACCAGTACTAGTTAGAAGCGAACAGTTTAACTGTATGTCACCTGGAGTGAGCAGTTTATATAGAAATATCACACAAATGTTAAAGTTATATTCATAGGCTTAACTGTCTTTATATACAGCTTTTACCAAACGACGTCAATTAATACAGAACCCTTCAAAAAACCATAATAAGAAATATTTGTGATGAGAAAAGTGGTAGAACTAACTCGGACAATTTTAGAAAAATGGATTCTACCGATAAAATTAGTTTTATTTTGGTTTGATGTATTGTAATACGTAATTATTTATTTTTAGCGATGATTTCAACTCGAGATATTGTCTTAAGTATCACAATTACTATGTATTATTGTATTAAAGTTGACTTAATGATATTGTTGCTTTTGTAAAGTACATGTATCTGTCTTTACTTTCTTTGTAATAAACCAATTACCTTTAGTCATCTTCAAGACTCGCCCCATTGCTATTATAAATTATTTAAATTACACAACTTGCGGCAAAGGTTAAGGATAATTGCTCCGAAGAGATCGATTTTATGAATAATGAGATTTGAGAGGGTACATGTAAGGACCTAAAGCTCGGAAAATGCGTGCGTGTTTTTAGATAAATCCTGAAATCATTCCTTGACCCAGAAAGAAACGCCAATAGACTAATACATTGCCACTTCTTCGAAAATCATTTTATCTCAATGTATAACGACTTTGTGTAGTTTCAAGTCGCGCGAGCAAAGCAAAAGGAATTACTATTTGTTGAATATGACTGAAAATGTTTGAAATTTTCGGAAACGTATCTGGTAAGAAAGTGTCTCACAAAAAAAAAATCAGCGTCGTGCTTTAGGTTAAAGTCCGACTTTATGAATGGTCTCATATATCTATTTATCTTGCGAAGGTAATCAACAGTCGTTCAGTTAAATTCTGTTGTGTTCGTACCCTCAGACTAAGTCAATACACTCCACAGAGGTTTCGGAACGCTCAGATTACATCCCAAACAAAACACGCATGTGGTTTTACCTATCAAAATGTATTGAAATGGTAAGACCGTTTTGAGGTCACCATAATAACGGGAACGGGATATCTTTAATATTTCGTATCCACGCAATGTTCACAGATAATTGTGTTGCCTATTTAGCTGTGTAAGATGGCAGGCGGTCGGTTGCTTGTCAGTCAGAGAATGTGTCCACAAATTTCTCAAACATTTGAATTTTTTTTATAATTACTATAAAAGTTATGAAACGAGTTTGGTTGAGGTGATCTTTCTACAGGCGAAACATTTCTGTTCTGTGGAACAATTTGAACACTTATTTTAGCTGTAAAGAAATGATTATATCTAAATAGTTTTCCTCTGTGACACACTTGGTTATTTTATACTATTTTAGAGATAGGAAATTAGGTTCGTTTCAGATGTACAATGTATATATATTTGTCTCCACCGTGTTAGCCCGATGGGAATACCTTAAAACATAACTCTAAGAGTAAGAAAACGTCTGAAATCCGTTAAGTGGAACACAGCTACAATAATCGGTTACACAATACACATCCTGTAAGTAACGACAAAAGCCATCTAGATCTGCTCAAGATCTCCAATACATCTTCTCCATGTTACTAAATGGTCACGATTTGTTTCTTGAGGGAAAAAATCTACGGATAAAAACATAATGTAATATAAAGGATGTATTGACATTTTGCTTGCGAAGAATTGATAAAGGTATGGAACCAAACAAGATTTGTTTCAGAAGCAGATTTGGTACATATATCCAAATGGAAAACAATTGATCCGGATAAGAGTGTAAATACCGACTCAACACTTAGTCTATTAATAAGATAATAACCTTTTTTCAGGGGATGGCTTCGCGATTTGTGTACCAACTGTTGATGACCGGCTTGACTTGAAATGGGTCGCATTACAGGAAATGCGATACATGGCTGCCCTTCGTTACACGGTAGTAAAGACCCCACGTTAACTGATCGATGAGATCATTATGAATTCCAGACATCACGTATATACTGGGTATATGTGTTCGTTGATCCAAACAATTAAACCAAACACTCTATAATGATACATGTTGTGGTTATTTGTTTTTTCCCATCTGAATAAGTGTTTTAGGGAATCAGAAGTATATCTACTATGATCTAAATGGTGATATGTAATAACTTGCTTTACGTCCCCATAATAGTGTTCAGTCAACCGTGGAATCAGAGATATAGCTACTCTGATATAAACGGTGATACGTAATAACTTGCTCTCAGTCCCGATAATAGTGTTCAGTCAACCATGGAATCAGAGGTATAGCTACTATGATATAAATGGTGATGTGTAATAACTTATTGTACGTCCCGATAATAGTGATCAGTCAACCATTAAACCGATATTCAATTGAATTACTAAATCTGTAGTAAGCCAGATCGTGATATTCTATCGTATACAACTAAAGCTGTTCGTCTATTTTAGTGTGTTTACAAGTTTTATCTAAAGTTTAAATGTAGAGGTCACATAAACCACGCATGATTGTCACTTTATATCGGTGACGGCCTACATCCTGTCGTTATTTAAATATCGTGAAGAATGTTCCGCGGTGTAGACTGATACCCAGTCAATTTTCACTTATGGGACAACATTCCAACTTCATTATAAAAAATCATATATAGATATTGTATATTGTAATTCTAATATAATACAATAATGCAATAAGATAACTTTTTTAACGAGACAAAATGTGTTTGCATGAACCTTCACTACACTGTAACATTTGTAACATATTTTCTATGACGGACCATGTTGAAAACAGTAGATGTCTTTGGCTGTAAATTCTCTCATTATAAACATTAACATCAGTTACATCACTAAAATTGTCCTTTTTACATTCAAGCAAACAAAAGATATATGATGTCCGAGTAAAACTTGATTTTAAATCATTCGTTTCTTACAATACATTGTATTTATAAACCAGAGACTAGAGAGAGGTTATATTGCATCACTGACCTAGAAGGACGAAACAGCTATTTTATGTAGTAGGTATGTGGCTCTACTTTGTCTTACTCTCATTTTGTATTATGGTGTTGTTCGTTGGTGTGTATTTTGTACTTACTGGCGAATATTTATTAGTTCTAGATGTCCACACCTAGTTAAAATGAATATTACTGGTGTCATTCCAGATTTCATTTATCAAATTTTTCCAGTATACCACTTTCTAATTGATAATGTAAACACCGATTTATTATTTCAGGTAGATCCAACAGAAATTTAAAAACCAGTTCAATTTATATTCAGAGTTGATTCCCACGATTGTCTGTTTGAGAATAAGTGAGCCTTCTTAACTGATGCACCCTGTTATCGTTAGTAACATTATAAAGCTGAAATGGCACTTTCTATTTCCTCTTTGAAGAACCTCTTTGTAAATCATTCCATGTACCATAGCTTGACCTGACCTTGTTAAACCGATTAGAAATTGGAGTTGAATTTGTTTAATCATTTTTATACTGTAGATATTTTGAAATATACGTTATTGTACCAAGTAACTTACGAAGATATCCGTTATCTAGTGGTGTATATGTCTCATCAGTTTGTTTGTACAATATTTAACTGTTTTCTGTTGATTTTACTTTTCTAACCTCGATAAATATGTCCAAATTAAAAGATTATCATAAATAAGTAAAACCCAGCAGGAAAATATGGCAAAACATTATAACACTATCTAGATCTACTCACAAAACGTGACAACACGAGTTATTCCCCTTCTTGTAATATTAGATTGGTACTGGTCCACTAAACGAACACAACTTTCATTTTAAGAATTCCCACCCCCCACCTCCCAAAAAAACAAAACAAAAAACAAAAAAAAACAAGAAAAAATTGATTCAACATTTCTATCAAACTTTGAACCCAAGGAATCACAGTAAAACTGATTTCCTTTATAACCATTTAATTAGCGATATTTAGGCGATAAAATAGCTGTTTACAAAATAAACATGTGATAATATATCAGGTTACAATATAAACATGTGACAGTAAAACAGGTTATAACATCAATGTATCACACTATTACAGGTTACAATATAAACATGTGACAGTAAAACAGGTTACAATATAAACATGTGACAGTAAAACAGGTTACAATATAAACATGTGACAGTAAAACAGGTTACAATATAAACATGTGACAGTAAAACAGGTTATTACAGGTTACAATATAAACATGTGACAGTAAAACAGGTTACAATATAAACATGTGACAGTAAAACAAGTTACAGTATAAACATGTGACAGTAAAACAGGTTATAACATTAATGTATCACACTATTACAGGTTACAATATAAACATGTGACAGTAAAACAGGTTACAATATAAACATGTGACAGTAAAACAGGTTATAACATCAATGTATCACACTATTACAGGTTACAATATAAACATGTGACAGTAAAACAAGTTACAATATAAACACGTGACAGTAAAACAGGTTACAATACAAACATGTGACAGTAATATTACAGGTTACAATATAAACATGTGATGAAATAATATAAAGTAATGATTTAAACAGAAGCTAATATAAACTTTAATTTTAACAGGTGTGATATTAACATGATATCATAGGACAATGTGATGGTGATGAGATAAACAGGTGATGAGATAAACCGGTGATGAGATCAACAGGAGATGGTATAACAGATGATGATCTTTTTAACAAGCATGATATTAACTTATTAAAATCAGAACATGTGATGGTGATGATATAAACAGGTGATATCAACATATTATAATAGGACCATGTGATGGTGATGAGATAAACAGGTGATGATATAACAGTATGAGATAAACAGGTGATGATGTAAAAGAGCTAATGATATAACATGTGATGATATAAACAGGTGATGAGATAAACAGGTGATGATATAAACAGCTGATGGTATAACAGGTGATGAGATAAACAGGTGATGATAAACAGTATGATATAGAGATAAACAGGTGATGATATAATATATGATGATGATATAAACAACAAGGTGATATTAACATATTATAATAGGAACAGGTGATGATATATGATATAAACAGCTGATGGTATAACAGGTGATGAGATAAACAGGTGATGATATAACAGGTGATGAGATAAACAGGTGATGAGATAAACAGGTGATGATATAACAGGTGATTAGATAAACAGGTGATGATCTTTTTAACAAGCGTGATATTAACATATTATAATAGGAACATGCGAGGGTGATGAGATAAACAGGTGATGATATAAACAGCTGATGATATAACAGGTGATGAGATAAACAGGTGATGATATATCAGGTGATGAGATAAACGGGTGATGAGATAAACAGGTGATAAGATAAACAGGTAATGATATCAAAAGACTACAAATTGACAAGACAAAAAACTGACGATATGAACATTTTACTTTTTTAGCAGATGACAAACTAAACAGTTGATACTAGAAACAGTTTATGAATGATCGGATGATAATATACATTGATGCAAGATAAAGATGTGATGTTGTACAGGTGATGTGATAATATTAACAGATGGGGATATATAAAAAAGTTTACGGTATGAAAAGATGATATCGATATTTAACATGATAAAGAGGTGACGATATGAACAGATGATATCGATATTTAACATGATAAAGAGGTGACGATATGAACAGATGATGTCGATATTTAACATGATAAAGAGGTGACGATATGAACAGATGATATCGATATTTAACATGATAAAGAGGTGACGATATGAACAGATGATATCGATATTTAACATGATAAAGAGGTGACGATATAAAAGGATGATATCGATATTTAACATGATAAAGAGGTGACGATATAAACAGATGATATCGATATTTAACATGATAAAGAGGTGACGATATGAACAGATGATATCGATATTTAACATGATAAAGAGGTGACGATATAAAAGGATGATATCGATATTTAACATGATAAAGAGGTGACGATATAAACAGATGATATCGATATTTAACATGATAAAGAGGTGACGATATAAAAGGATGAAGAATGTAATTATATGTAGATCGATATGTTAAAGAGATACGTCGATACAGAGCAAAGATTTAGCTGACTTCACTTCGTCCTGATGAAAGGACGGGCCTACTTAATGTTCCATTAGATATAATGATACATAGTTAAACATGCTACAGTATATGTTTGCGTAGTTAATTCCCTCAGGTCATGTTATATAGTAGGGATGTGTAATAATGCCACGGTCCTATGATCATGTGTAGGTATTTTATTCATTATATTAAAACAGAGTTAAACGATACAGGTATATCTCCGAGTCCGTAATAAGCAATAACAGTAATAAAGTGGTATAAAGCATCACGTTTATCGGGGTAACCTTTCTCTGTCTCAATGTCATTACATTCCAACCTCATTTCCCAACCGACAGTGGCGTTGGACCACAATCGTCTAATGGTTAATCATTGCTAATTGTAGCAAATCTGTATTGTTCATACATCTGGAGTAGTGGATGTTCTCGGCGTCGTATTTATGATAGGAATTCGCTGTAATAAGATCTAATTGTCAGTTCAAATTGACCAGACCGTTCGCCCTTTTACGTTGTATTTCATCATTTGTGGCAGACTTTTGATAGCACGATTTCAGAAATATCACAGAGAAGTGTCATGCTGTACTGTCCTTCACATATTACATTGTCATTCGCGATCTCCACTGCAAAACAATGACTTACAGAAAATCTACTTTTCTTGCAATGATTATTAGCATCATGGCCTTAACTTACACCCAAGGAAATGACAGAAGTTCAACAGATTCTCCCAACAAGAGTAATGCTTCCCAGATAAACATGGATTCTAATGGGACCACGCCAGGAACGGGACCCACTGATACAACCTACGTGCTTTCCATGGCCTCGACCAGCACAGGAATTTCTGCTACAACACACTCAACATTAAAAAGTCGAATAAAAGGTAAGAATTTTATTTGTGAATGTTTGATATAAATTGAAAACATCTACTGAACCGAGTGAAACGTTACACCATAATATAAAGAAGATGATACTTGTTTATTTATAT